TTAACGACGCTAACAAGATCGTTGATCATAATAAGAAATAGGAGTGGACCGATTACCGATCCCTGACTAACTCCGGAGCGAGTATGGTATGATTGGGATAGGTAACACCCATGGGTAACATTTTGGCGCCGGTTGCGTGATAATTTGAAAAAAGGGATAGTAGTTTCGGCGCAAATCCTATAGCGCATAACTTTAGTAACAGTATGGCATTGACCACTTTATCAAACGCCTTTTTAAAATCGAGGTATAGCACATCTACCTGCTTACCTTTATCTAGACTCTGCGAAATGTAATCCACAAGCGAAAGGAGATAAGTCTCTACTGAGCGACCAGGTCGAAAACCATGTTGTTCGTCGCATAAATAGGATTTTAACTGTTCGTAAATGACCTTATGTACAATATGTTCAAAGACCTTGGCAGGGGATGAGAGAATTACAATGGGGCGATAATCCTCAACAGAGGACCTGTTACTAGTTTTTGGAATGGGGGTGACACGAGATAGCTTCCACTGTTCGGGATAAGTGCCACTATGCAGAGCCAGATTAAATATATGACAAATGGAGGGTGTAATATGTTACTTACATCCTTTTAATATATAAGTAGGAACCTTATCGGGACCGACAGAACTACCGGGTTTTAATTTGTTGATACCAGCTTTGACTTCTGATAATGTAAAGTTGCGTATGTTTACATATCCCCCATGTGGTGCGATGTTAGCGGTACATACTTGATTGGGATCTAGAATGGGGTTATTTGGTAGAAATACACTTGAAAAATAGTGCGCAAATACATCAGCTGCTTCAGTACAGGAGAATTTTTTATTTTTATAAGTCACTATGGGTTCAAAACCGCCCTTGAATTGCAAGTTAGCAATGTGCTGCCAAAACATTTTTGGGTTAGTTTTAATATTAATTTCGATAGCTAATATGTATGATTTGTAGGCTAACTCAATGCGGTTATTTAAATTCAAACGTAATCTAGAGAAAGCATTATAAACATATACCTCACCATGTTTTTTCCATTGGCGATGAAGTCTTATTTTACGATTGATATTCTTTATGATATCAGCAGAAAACCAGACTGGGCAACGTTTACAATTAAATTTAGATCTCCGTTTTTTGGGTACACAAACATCAAAGACGTTGTAAAGTATTTTGTCATTCAGCTGTCGCCAAAACAACATCACCTGCGTGAATGACGTTACACCAATTTGCCTTAGCCATCTGATCATACGGTAAAAGAAAATTAGCTTTATTAAAATTCCAGTCAGTTTTCGGATCAAAGTTACTGGGTTCAATATATTCGCTACTTTTAGGTGAATTTAGTTTTATCTCTACGTCTAGCGGTGGATGATAGGGATCGATATTAACAATACCACCTGTCTCAGCGTCATTTACTTGCACCGCACAATCAACAGTCCTTGAAAGTACTACATCCAACTTACCTCCAAATATATTAAAAACAAAATTAGTATCACACATGCTGCAAAATGATAAAAAATAACAGTAATAGCTACAAACATTTTTTGAGACACTATTTAGGTTAAGATCACCGAGAATCAATACAGTTCCATTAAGGTCATTTGGCCATTAAGGTCCAATTTTATTTATTTATTTATTTATTTATTTATTATTGGACAACACAACAGATTACATCATGACTTAAAGCTATAACTTACAATAATAATAGTGTAGTACAAGACATAATCCTTATACGTGTTATCACGGCATGCCAAGATTGAGAAACAAACATTTTAAATAAAATTGCTTAAACTAACAGGCTCATAAACCCAACAAATTAAGAACTATAATTTTAGTGAATATCAATCAAAGGGGATGTCCTTGAGAATGCCTTTCAAAACATTTCTAAAGTGAACCAGACTAGAGTTGAAGATGTCAAGGTTGGTAAATCGAAGGCTATAATTCTCATAAAGTCGACATAACCTTGATAGGGGTTGATTCCGGGATATATTATTTCGCGATAGGGGTATGTCAAATATTTTTTTCATAGGTCTACGTGGGTTGTATTTTATGTTAAAATTTAACAGTTCCAAAACCTCGGGACTGTCCAGTTCCGAGTGTATTATTTTGTGTAGGTTAACTAGGTCCAATTCGTCGCGACGGAGGTGAAGTGGTGTCATGTCAAACTCTTTAAGCCTCTCAGCATATGACCGGAGTCTTCTATTGTTGCCGGTACGTAAGCTCAATAAACGCAAAAACTTGGATTGGATCGATTCAATGCGCTCAGAGTGCACTGCGTAGTATGGGTTCCATATTATTGAACTATATTCTAAATTACTTCGAACCAGACTGTTATATAACAAAATTAAACTTTGAGAGTTCCTGAAGTGCCTGCTCTGTCTGGTAACGAAACCTAGTACCTGGTTAGATTTTTTGGCTATGAGATCGTAATGTTGGCGGAAACTAAGCTGTTCGTCAAACAAGACCCCGAGATCCCTGATAGACGACACACGAGACAGAGTTTGTTGTTCTAAGATATAATTGTTTGATACCTTGTTTTTTTTAAGTGTGTAGGTGATGACATAGCATTTTTTGACATTAAGGAACATTTTATTTTCTTTGCACCAATTAGACAGGCTGTTTAAGTCTTCCTGTATGATGCGTGTGTCGTCAGCTTCACCAATTCTATTGAATATTTTTAGGTCGTCAGCATATAATAGGCAAGGGGACTGAATTTTACCAATGAGGTCATTAATGAAAGTCACAAAAAGTAACGGGCCCAAATGGGATCCTTGAGGAACACCAGACTTAATGATGATTTCTTCTGATGTGTACCCCTTGACGGTTACGAGCTGACTCTTGTTTTTCAAGTAGGACTCGAGCCAACGCAACAGACTGCCGTGTATACCATACGACTCAAGTTTCTTACATAAAATTGCGTGATCCACTTTATCGAACGCTTTCTTAAAGTCGGTATATATAGCATCTACCTGACCACGGTTGTTAAAAGCATCGCATATGTAGGTTTTGAAGTTAAGAAGGTTACTGACTGTCGATCTCCTTTTGATGAATCCGTGCTGCTTAGTTGATATAAGAGGTTTTAAATGAAAATAGAGATGATCAAATACTACTGATTCAAATAATTTGGATACTGCTGACAAAATGCTTATGGGTCTATAATTTTCACCGTTGGCTCGGTCACCAGATTTAAATATAGGGACAATGTTAGCTTTTTTCCAGCGAGAAGGGAACACACCGCTGTTCAATGATTTATTAAATATTAGCTGAAGCGGGCGACACAGTTCATCTGCGCATACCCGCAGGAATATAGGTGGAATGCCGTCAGGGCCAGCTCCCTTGTTGGAGTCAAGACGCCTCAGTTTTGATAATATTTCGTTCTCAGTTAGTACGATTTTAGTGAGAAGACTATTTGTTTGACTACAACAATCGTATATCCCCGATCCGTGACTGTGATCTTCGAATACTGACCCAAAAAATTTTGAAAACATATCGCAGATTTCCCTACCACCAGTAGCCAATTGCAGAGAGGTGTAAGACAGGGTGACGTCATATCCCCGAAACTCTTCACCGCTGCATTGGAAGACGTTTTCAAGCTTCTGGACTGGAAAGGGTACGGTATCAACATCAATGGCGAGTACATCACTCACCTTCGATTTGCCGACGATATAATAATAATATTCCACAACTACCAAACAACGCCATCTAGTCCCAAGCTAAGCAGAGCTTGTGTTATGGGTACTAGACAACTGATAAACATACTTATATATTTCTAAATACATAAATATTATAGATAAATTACACCCAGACACAGAACAAATGATCGTGCTCATCACACAAACATTTGTCCTGGGTGGGAATCGAACCCACGACCTCCGGCCTAGCAGTCAGGGTCACTAACCACTAGACCAACAGGCCAGTCAAATATGTATAGTATATAGTCCTTATGGCAGAATCGCTGGAGGGCCTAAGCACTATGCTCAATGACCTCAATAGTGTTTCCCAACGGATAGGTCTTAAGATGAACATGGACAAAACAAAGATTATGTTTAATGTCCATGTCACACCTATGCCGGTAGTTGTTGGGAGCACTAAGCTCGAAGTTGTTGACGAGTATGTTTACCTGGGACAAATAGTCCGACTAGGTACATCTTCTCGTCAGACATACCTCAAAACCTGAAAACGAAATTGTACAACCAGTGCGTGCCAGTGATGACTTACGGAACTGAGACGTGGTCCTTCACTGTTGGCTGTATGAGGAAGCTCAAGGTCGCTCAGCGAGCTATGGAGAGGGCTATGCTCGGAGTTTCTCTGCGTGATAAACTTAGGAATGAGGATATCCGCAGTAGAACCAGAATAAACGACATAGCCCAACGAATTAGTAAGCTGAAGTGGCAGTGGGCCGGCCATATAGCTCGAAGAACCGACAACCGATGGGGAAGAAAGGTTCTCGAGTGGCAGCCTCGTACCGGTAGGCGAAGTGTAGGGCGTCCCCCCACGAGATGGAGTGACGACCTGGTAAGACATGCAGGAAGTCGATGGATGCAGGTGGCTCAGGACCGTGCTTTGTGCATTCTTTGGGGGAGGCCTATGTTCAGCAGTGGACTTGTGAAGGGCTGTAATGATGATGAAGGTCATTTATAAAGCTTTCAACCTTGCAGAACCAATCAAAATAGACCGCATCCGTAGCACTGGGTGGTATGTATACGACGCAGACATTTACATTGATGCCATGAAAATTAAATTTAATCCAGACGACTTCGCCATTAAGGGTTTCTAAATTATGTTGTCTAACAGGCGTGATACCAGGTTTAGTGGCAAGCAATACCCTCCTCCATAAGTTCTTCTGGCATTCCGTATGATACTCCATCCACCGCATACAACCTCAGCGTCTTCCACGGATGAATCTAGGAAAGTTTCAGTCGCAGCGACGATGGTATGCTCTAGGATTAGTAGATTGGTTTTCCATGTGTCCCGATTCCATGTTCCATAAATATACGAATTTCCTTTCTTCAACAGCTTTTAAGGTTGTGATACCAGGACTGCCTGTGCATCTGATAGAGGTGTTTCTTTTATTTTTTTCTTACTGGTCACTATCTTACAGGGCTCAATGTTAGTAATATTACAGGTGGTAGAAAGAGTAACATCGCTTTTAGTTGACTGGAGGCTAATAAGTGACTCGGTAGGGGCAGGTTCTATATGAGTTTCAATTGATTTGTTTATTATATTGTTGTCTGTATAAGTATCAATAGCTGAAGTGTAGGAAGTAGTTGGCTGTTCGATCGGATTCTGCTTAGTGGAATTCTGAGTTGATTTATGGTTCTTAAGCTTTTGAACTTTCGATGTATTTTTGGATTTAGAACCTGAACCAGTACTAGGTTGTTGAGATTGCAAGTGTGATGTTGTGCATACTTGATTTTGTGTGCCTCTGTTTTCGATTTTAGTAACTTTATCGGTGAGAGTGGTTAACATATCCTTGCTGTCGTCAATTTTTTCATGACATTTATGGATATAATGGAATAGTTCGATGAATTTTGTATTCAGCTCAGACATTTGTTGTTGTAATATTTTAAAATTCGAGGTGATATTACATGTTTCCTCAACAGAATCTACTTTAAGTGATACAGATGGTATTTTACGAATGGTAATATTGGACTCGCGTACAGGAATAGGTGATCCAACTGGAATCTCAGAGTTATTACCACCCCTCTTCGCAGTACAGCGACATTCAGGGCAAATCCAGAAAGACCTCTCATCCAATATTAATGTCTGATTATTACATAAATAATGATAAAGCTTGCCACATGATTCATTCATACACTGGAGAAATTCTTCTCCGGGTTTTAGATTACTTTCGCATGCTGCGCACATCATTTTGTTAGTTTAAGTAAACAATATCGAGTACCAACAAACTGTATTAAAAAGGCGCGGTGAAGTGGTGGCGGGATGTGTGATGCTCGAGGTGGCAAGAAAAAGGTCGTAAGCGCCGTGCAGAGACCGGCGCTTACGCGTTCGTCCGAAACACTTCACTTATCACAAATCGTTATTAATTTGAATATTTTCCAAGTGATAGATTGTCAATTGTATCACAGTTTACGTTCTTTATTGTTCAAATAAATGGAAAAAATTTCACTGTAATTGGTTTAACACAATGCTATACATACAAGTTTATCGGCACTGTATTTAGAAAATTAACTCGAAGCAGTCACGTTAAACAAGATTTTTTATATAGTATAGTTCCGCCAATTATCAACTGCCAGCTCATGCGGTATCTCGAGTTGCACCAGTTGGTTAGTGATTGCTAGTATCCATCAGAATCGCTCAGCTGGTGATCTTGTTGTTTATCTAAAACACCGAAGGGCGCAGGCGGTCGAGTTCAAGGAGGAAGCCTTGGCGGTTAGTTTGGACATTGCGAAAGCATTCTATAGGTTTTATCACAAAGCGCTTCTTTTGAAGCTTCCATCTTATAGGCTTCCCGAGAAATTATGCAATTGGATCATTCGTTTTCTCTCGGATCGGAGCATTAGGTCGTAGTCGATAGTGCATGCTCTGACACCGAGCCAATTTTTTTATAGGAGAAGGGTTACAACCGAGCACACTGTCCACCTGATTGTAAATGGATGCTGTTGCCCATAGACATCTACATTTATTTTCGATTACGAATCGTTGTCAGATGCGTTGTCACCGTGAGGACTAAGATGGAGTGTCTCGTTTCCTGTAAAAAGGGTCTCCGATTCTCTACACTCACCATACGAAACACAGCAGCGTTAAGCTGCTATTTTACGCTGGTATTCTGTGTAACATAGTGCCAAGAGTCTAACCTGTTCCTTCTGTATATCAAGGATATGTTACATACTAGTAACAGTTGTTAATCACAGCATGTCAATGCCTTATACACTGAACATGCTAATATTTTTCATGAATACGACGTGTGTTTAGTACAGCAGCCTTGCAGTCCTCCTTATCCACTTCGGCGATTCCCAAGAAAATGAGGGCCTTACGTCGTTGTCTCGTATCTATGACATCAACGCTGCGGAAGCACTCATTAATTTGCTTGCGAAGCAGACCTAGCATGGAGATTATAAGTTCTCGGAAGGTCCGGAACTCCTCTGCCACCTTTGCAACAGTATCCTTTGCGGGTCCCCCAGATTGTAGCTGTGCTTCCAGTTCGGACATTCTCTTAGAGAAACATTCCTCCAGGCTATTTTGTGTGGTATTAATCTCCTCAATTTGAGACATTGTATAGTGCCCAATTAAGTAACAATGTGTTAATTAAACTCAAATATGTAAGGTAAGTGCACTGTGCAGGCAGGTGGTGTATTTAATAAGAATCACTTCACATATATACTGTTGAATTTACGTAAGTACTGTATATTTATGGACTCAAGCACTCAAAAATTAGATAATATACAGTAAATTATTGTTTTATTTAATTTAAAATGAGATCTCAAAGCGTAAATATATGTTAACTTTTTATTCACCTGCCGCCGAAAAAATACCTCTCTAATAAATAAATAACATGTCGATTTTATTTCGGACTAGTTGAATCCATAGAAATTGTTCGTAGAGAAAAACTTACATCTATGTTAGTAATATAATTTATACTTATATTTAATACTTAATTATTAAGCAGGATACAGTCCTGGCGATCAGTGGACAGTCACCACTGTCGGCAATCTCACTCAGCACACTGTGGCCGCTGTCGCGTACTCTGTTTAGCAACGATGCGGTCTTTATTCGGATTATTGCATCAAAGCTATCCACACCTGCCAATGCAAACATCGCAGACGCGCTACTGTAGCGCGGCAACCGCGACAGCGTCCTAAATGCATTATTGATTGAGTATGTAAGGCACTATAGGCATTTTTGGTGTAGTTGGTCCATGGGCTGTAGGAATAAAATGAGCCACAATATGCTTTGAAAAACGTGATCTTGACAGCGTCTGTGCAGCGATCTAATGTGTGCATGCACCAACATATTCGCTGTGACCGACAGTGCCCTACGTTCTCTTTCAATGTCTTCATCGTCTTTAAGGCTGTCAGTCACAATATGGCCGAGATATTTAAAACTATAGACCCTTTCTAGTGGTTCGTTATAGAGCTTTATAGGGGGTACAACACTAGGACATTTACTGACAGCCCTAAACACAATGTTCTGTGACATTTTGGTATTGTATAGTAAACCATATGAGACAGCAAACTTTTCAAAAACACCGAGTAGAGCTCTCAGCGCACTAACTGAGGGTGCCAGCAGAACCATATCGTCCGCGTAGCTGTTATTGTTCACACACACACCTTGCCGACATGGCAGCCGACACGCATGCTGCTGAGCTCGCAAACCAGTGCGTCCATATATAGGTTGAAGAACCTCTGCGATTTCAGCCCCCCTTGCCTCACCCCGCACTCCATCCTGTACGACTCGGAATAGTTATTCGCCCATCTGACATAGTTCACTTTATTACTATACCAGTTAAAAATAAAACAGTCGCAGCTAAAAAGCCTCAACAAGTTAACGAGTAATATTGGACCAACTTATAAAATGTACTTGTAAATAGACCAGGCAGCAGCTGCACTAGCTTCAAGGGGTTGTTATAATTTTCAAACTTGTTGCACAGTACCATTTTTGTGCAAATTTGACATGTGAATGATTTAATGTAGATTGTATTATTTTTAAATAGCAAAGTTTTTTTTTAATATTTTTAATATCACTCCCTACGGTTCTGCTTAAAAATAAGCCCTTCATTAATTTGCGTCCTATTTGAAGCCATTTTTGTCATTATAGCGGTCAAACCGCGTACTCAATATGCTCATAGTATCAAGAAGGCTCCTTCTAAGTTCACGTATTTTGACAGGTATCTACGGAACCCAACCTCTATATTGCATGCCCCAACACGCATTTGTCCGTTTATTTTTATTTTTTTCGTTATTAAGCCCAAAAACATTTGTAAATGCGATTTAAAATATTTTATTCCTGACATGTATTATTGAATTTACCTTTCAGTTAGTTTAGAAATTGTTTATTTTTTATTATATTTTTTGTTCGTTTTTTATTATTGACTAAACTAACGTTACCAACCATACTATCTGGATAATTGGCGGAACAACACTGTGTGATTTACAAGAAGTTTCCTTTCTCGCACAACTACCTTGTATCGCCTACCATCAGCGATATTCCGCACCGATACGACTTAGGGACCTTCAAGAGCAAGAGCCTACTCTTTTTTTAAAGGACGGCAATGCATCTGCAAATCCTCTGGTGTTGCAGTTCTTCATGGGCGGCAGTCACTTATCATTACGTGAGCCGCATGTCCGTTTGCTCCCTCTTATACTGCCTGCCGAGCTTGACAACAATGGATGACTTTTATAGTCTGTAAACAATGAATGAAAGGATATTAAAAATATTGTAATTTAAATACACACTGTACATACAAAAAAAAACTTAAACTATTTTACTTGCTTTGCCTGTGCTTGATTAATATCCCACCTTACGGTACGCTACCGAAGATGGCAAAATGCACTTGAGTTGGCTTAACAAAAGTCTATTCACTCTTGTTTTGTAGAATATACCCACATTGTTATCGGATTGCCACAAATGAATTAATTTTTGATAGAAACACACAACTAATAACAATGTTTCCATTAGTAAATGTACGACGTGTTTTAAAGATGTTTCGATTATGAACTAACCGATGAGTTATTTTACATTACATAGAATGTGAAATGTATGATTTTATATGTAAAAGAGCCACGCTGCAAGTATAATATCATGGTTGTGGCACAAATGTGTCGGTTCGACCAGGTTTGGACCACGCTCACACAGAATGACAGCGTAAAATAGCAGCTTAATGTTGCTGTGTTTAGTATAGTGAGTTCAGAGAACCGGAGATCCTTTTTAAGGGCAACGAGGCGTTCCATCTTAGTCCTCAAGGGTGACGACGTATCTGCATTTTGATTTTAATCGAGGATAAATAAAGATGTCTATCATCATCAGGTGAAATGTATGCTCGTTTGTCACCCTTATTATTTAAAAAAAGATATTACAGTTAACAAGTAATATATATAAAATTTTACTATATTCATCACATCAGTTAGTAAGCGCTGTGGCCAAACCATCGATTTGGCAATTCTACTTCCCTTTATCAGTCTGTAAAACTAATATTTCATTTTCAACGCGCTTGATGGAAAATGTAATGCTGCCGATGGAAAGACAGATTCTAGCAAGCTTTTCCACTGCATTCCTGTATGGATTATGGAAGAAGAAGCAAACCGTTTTGTGAGAATGCGGGATATGTATACAACAAGGGGATGGAAAATAAATTGATGAATTTTCCATAATCCGTACAAAAACCGACTAGGTCTTCAGAGCCTTGTTAATTAACGTACTACGGCAGAGTGCGCAGAGCAGGTAAAGTGGGAAGTCGTAGAAAATACTAGCATAATTCCCCTAAGACTTTCTATGTGGTTGCTGTTGACTGCCTCATTGATCTAGTGGTCGTATGAATTGTTTACTGATCATTTATGGTCCTGTTTTTGGGATTTTCTCAGAAGAAATTCTCAAAAGCAACCCGGTGAAGAAATTTGGCGGTGTTTCACTCTTGTACCTCGGAAAGCACTTTAAGCCGCTGATCCTGCATATGATCTCTCTTTGGTTTTGTCTAATTACCATTCTATAGGACCATGAGAATGACGGAACAGAAAGTGCACATGTATTTACGCACACACTAGTGCACTATAATCCTGTCCTGCGTAGATGGTAAGTTACCGTTCAGATTGGCCGCCGTAACTGATATTTGGTCTGTAGCAAATTATAAAATAAAAATAAAAAATAAAAATAGTTTATTCAGTAAATGATCATACATTAATTATAACCGGGGA